TATGGTAGATTCTTTAGTTATATTATTTAATAATAAATATAAAATTATAAAAGACTAATTATTTAATAAAGTAAAATTAAATTAATTTATAAATAAAAGGTGATAATGTTATAACCCGTAATTAAACTGTTATAAGCAAGAATATTTTAAAAGTAGATTTAAAACCTGTAATATTGTCACTTAAATATATATGTGGCGTGATTTTTCCTTCTTTTAATTATTTCTATGTTTATATGTATTAGAAAAATATTGAATAACATATCGAAAAGGAAGAGACATTTTTTTTGCTTCACTATGAGGTTAATAAACATTATCTATGAGGTTAGTGGTGGGTGATACCTCATAGAATGCAGAAAATGTGCATTTAATTCAAACCTTTTAACTTTGGAGACTCTAATACTGATACCGGTCATTATTGATTTTCAAGGTGATGTATGATTTCTCACTCTTTATTTGAATTTTATTGTTGAGAGGAATTTAGGATTTTAAATTTATGATTTCAAAGATATTATCTTTGAATATATTTAGTAGATGTTTTAACATTTATATAGTTTGAGCAAAAATTACTAGAGTCAGATGAACAAGTACTTTATCTTGTATATCCGTCCATGCTAGAGAGGGGAGAGTGTTTTCGAGATTTTCAGTGTGTAAAAATTTAAGCTTTATGCCTTGCAACAACAATTTTCAATCCTACGGAGCAACGATAAGAGGACCCTCTTCTCAATTCTTTATGTGCTAGAAGATGCGCTTACAACACAAAAATTCTCCTCTTCCTATTCAATGAGGAACAAATGAACTTTGTTTAAATTTCATTTCTCTCTGTTTCCTAATTCACTCACCTTTTAACTAAAAAAGAATATACATCGTTAGTGTAAATAAATTTTACATTATTTTGTCTTTTTAGATGACATGATGGTGTAAAAATTTGCTAAAACATGTATAAAACTTTTTCAGTTCATTTATCCAAGATTTCTTGATTAAGAAATATACATTCTGAAATTTGTATATAGGTCCCATTTGATACGAATAAATTGAGAAAAAGTAATGGAAGAAATATCCAATTGGAAAGCGTTACTAACAACGTTTGTTTTGACTTGCGTCACCAATTGATGTCTACATGCACCACTCTCTGTCTACAAATAACAAAAAATGTTTTCATTCATTCTATCCCATTACCACTCCAATAATATCCAAAAACAACAATGACTACTTTGAGAGCAATAACATTGTTGTTGTTGTTTATGGTGGCTGCAACAGAGTGCAAACAATGTGCATTTAAGGCTATCTTTAACTTTGGTGATTCAAATACTGATACTGGTGGTTTTTGGGCAGCTTTCCCAGCTCAAGCCCCTCCTCATGGAATGACTTACTTCAACAAACCTGTTGGAAGGGCAACTGATGGCAGAGTTGTCGTCGATTTTCTAGGTGAAATATCACTAATATCTCACTTCTTTTATTTGTCTATGATAAGCATTGAACATTGTCAAGTTAAAAGCCATAGAAAATGGTTAATTGTCTTATATGTTAAACGTTACGTTACAGAAAGAGAGTTATGGTTTGTTTGTCTTAGATGTTAAATGTTATCTGAATTCTGAAGAAGGCATGTGAATGCAGAGGCGGATTCAAGATTTAAACTTTATAAGTTCAACATTAATTTTAAGGTTCTTACCTACTAGAACTGAACTCATATTTACTACTTGTTGCAACTTCAGTGAACATATATGATCCGTGTTGAAAGTATTGAGTTCATCTACTGATATATTTAGCTATAAATCTGACCCTAAGGAGTTAGAAAGAAGATAAATATCTTAGTGAAAATTGTGACCATTTCTCTGTTAGTGTTCTCATTTTTCTGCAGCAAATTTCGCTCATCAAGTTCATGCATCTGTGAACTTTTGCAGTGAGGATAGAATTATCATTGGAAGAAAACGAAATAGCCTTAGCTGGAAAAAGTAGTAAAATTTGTCCATGTCTATGTATGTTCTTTGTTTGTCCTTTTAGGTTTTGTCCTACATCCTTATCCTAACTATTGCACCTGTGACCTCTTCATGTGGCTTAATTTTATCCTACATTATTTGCCTTTTTCAGTGTTCAACAAGTATTGGAGGTATAATTAAGTAAATAAATGTCTATTCGAGTTGGATGTGGGGTAAAACTTATACACGGCTATTAGGGCGTGTTGAAGATATAATTGAATGAATAAAAGTGTACTCCCTCATACAACTTAAACGTTTAGATTGAGATGGTCACATAGTTAAACTAGATTTTTCACACAATTATGTATGTATAGGAAAATATTTGTCCTTTTTCTTCGTCTTGTTTCAATTGTTGTTTAAACCTGTGACAGTTTTTTGATAGTTTTATTATTCCTGGTTGTGCAGCTCAAGCATTAGATTTGCCATTTTTGAGTCCATATCTGCAATCAATTGGATCTGATTACAAACATGGTGCTAATTTCGCAACATTAGCATCCACAGTTCGCTTGCCACAAACTTCCTTATTTGTTACTGGTGTTAGCCCTTTTTCTCTTGAGATTCAGCTTAGACAGATGAAAGAATTTAAGGTTAAAGTCGATGAACTTCCCCGTAAAGGTAATATTATTAACGTTCTATTCTATAAAAAAATCGATGAGTGTTACGTTGTTTTGTTAACCATAACCAAATATGTCTGAATTTTCAGGGAAAAGTAATCTGCCTTTCCCAAACATATTTGGAAAATCACTATATACATTCTACATTGGCCAAAATGACTTCACTGGAAATTTGGCAAGACTAGGAATAAGTGGAGTGAAAGAGTTTCTACCTCAAGTTGTTTCCCAAATTGCCAGCACCATCAAGGTAACAAACATCTTTTTACTTCAATGTCCTAGCATTCGATGAATACTTTATTATGTTTTCAACGTTTTTTTACGTGTGGGCTTGGTTCTTTGTTTTTTTGGGTAATTCTTTTGATAGATGACTGAAAGTGGGATTTGATCTCAGGATTTCTGCTATTCATCATGACTATATAATATCTAAAACAGCAGTACCTTCCGTCTCCAATTTTAAGGAAGACTTTAACTCGTTTTAAACGGAGAGATCACAGGGCATTCAAGATAGTTGTTGAGGAAGCATCTGATTATTGTTCGTTCTCATACTAACTGAACGCCTATTTGATGCTAGCTTGTTCTGTTATATTTTCCAGGAGATATATGCATTAGGTGGGAGAACATTTTGGGTGCTAAATCTAGCACCAATTGGATGTTACCCTGCATTTCTGGTGCAACTGCCTCATAACACTTCTGATATAGACCAGTTTGGTTGCCTAATATCATACAATAATGCAGTGGTGGATTATAACAATATGCTTAAAGCAGCATTAGCAAAAACCAGAAAGGATCTTGCTGATGCAAATGTTGTATATGTCGACACTCATACTGTGCTCTTGGAGTTATTTCAACACCCCACTTCTCATGGTACTACTTGTTTTCGTTTTCTTTCAAGATACTCAACAGTAAAGATTCAAATGTTGAAAGTTTGTTTGTTTTTGCAGGGCTAAGATATGGAACCAAAACATGTTGTGGATATGGAGGTGGTTTATACAATTATAACCAGCAAGTGTTCTGTGGAAATACGAAACAAGTAAATGGGAAAACGGTAACAGCAAATGCCTGTAAGGATCCACAAAATTATGTAAGCTGGGATGGAATTCATGCCACTGATGCAGCAAACAAGCTCACAGCAGATGCCATTCTCAATGGTTCTTATTTTGATCCTCCTTTTCCACTTCACAAGTACTGTGATATCCAGCCTATAGGTTGACAATGTTGTTTAATTTCTTGTGTTCAGTAATAATAATGAACCACCACTTATGAGTACTCATTACTCGTCAAGTTAACAGACTTATCTGCACTCATTGTTTACACCAAACCATGTTATGTTTGCCATATGCAAACAAATGACATTCGTTTATTAGTTTGGTGAAAAGACGACAAACAGTTTTTCCAGTAAATGATATGGCTCATCTTTAAAATGTGACAGATATTGATGGAAACTTTTAAAACAAGGACTTGATAATTGAGTTGCATCATCCCATAACAACAAACTTCATCTATGAGTTGTGATCCATATCCTAATCTAATTTTCTTATAAAAAAATACAATCCATCTATGTCTCAATGAGTTGAATTTAATCATTAGGTATGGATTTAGTTTGTGAATATATAAAAGTACTTATCCTTCTCAAATTGTGATTAAACTAATGCACACCAGCAAAAGATACTCCTGATTGCATCAGAAACACCATTTTCCAAATGGCTTAAATGGTTACAGCCTTAGGGCTCATTGGGTATAAGGTATAACTAATCCCGGGAATAATTTTGGATGAGATTAGTTATCCCGGGATTGTAGTGTTAAACAATCCTGAGATGACTAATCGGGGGACGGAATAACTTGTTCCCCAACCAAACGAGCCCTTTAAGAATTTTGTTGACAGGGGTTTAATCAAGTGCAATAACTATTAAAGAAAATTCTTAGCTTACAGACCAATCTTTAGAAAAAATGCAGACAGCTCAACAGAAGATTATTCTAAGATTTCAGATTGGCCCATACATTATGTCAAAACATTATAAAATTTTGGTTTTACAAATTAAAGTTTTAGTTAATTGTGCCTTCTTCCTGTCAAGAATAAAGTCAGTATTTTAAAAATAAAATAAAATAGAAACAAACAAGTATGTGAACAGTTAGTGTTAAACATTGAATGTTTCTTTCACTTTAAAACAGTCAACTTAATAGTTTAATAGCATAGCATTATTTAAAACATTATCAGCTAATGATCTCACTTTAGAACATTCTAATCATTTTGGAGTTTCTTAATTGTACTAAATAATTATCTTCAACCAACCATAAAGTTTATTTGATGACAGTTTGTACACTCAAAAGGAATCTCACCTTTTATGCATAAGAGAGAGCCTATTGCCTTTATATTTTATTCATTTATTTGAAGGGTGTTTTTTTTGGAAACCAAGGATAACCCGCACTCGGTAAACCCCTCACCGTGTAATATGCAAACTGCAAATCACACCGGGGAAGTAAACCGCACTAGGCACATCTATGTGGCACCAATCACTTTGAAGGGTGTTTTGTTTTTTGAATCATGCAAAAACTTTAAGAAAGTACATTGATTTCCTAAACATGAATGTATGTATATACACCCAAAAAATGGAAAGAAGACAAGAATTGAAAAGAACAAATTATAAAGTTGAAAAGAAAATAGAATCAAGGAACATAACTATTTTCAAGAACTGGTTGAGTTCTGATACCTGAAGCAGAAGGCATTCTGCTATTCCCAACCCAAACATCATCCAAAGCCTCACTTTTTCCAGATTGTCTCTCCATATTACCTCTCTTTTTTAGCCTAACACATTTGTATATCAAAATTCCCATCACAATCAACAATATTAATCCAACAATTCCTACTCCAAATCCTATTACCCACCATTTCCATTTCCCCTTTTTCTCCTCCTCTGGCTTCAATGAAGGAACCACTATCGCGAAATGCCCTTGTCCTCGCGATATACATGTGTTGTTCATTGTAACATTACTGAACTCTATGGTTCCATTTTTGACAAATCTAACACATTTCATATTCTTGTTGTAGTCGTTGTTTGGAGGGAAATGAATCAAAATGTGATTTTCCATGGTATTGAGCTCAACCATTCCATAATTTTCTCTGCTTCTTCTTGCATCATATGCTAAAAAGCCTATAACAGGTGTTACAAATGTGTAATTTGTAACATCATAGTATTTGGACGACAAATTCCCAAGATTTTCATAAATTATATCAAATCTCTTAACAAAAGGCCATGGTAATACTCTGTGTGGGATTTTAAAGAAGCTAAAATTAGCCCCTCTTCTCCAAAAACTTGAACTTCTAAGACGAACAATTGAAGTTTCCATGCCTGAAAAATTTGTAGGAAGGGGAATATCATACAATTTACCCGTATATCGTTTCGACATATTCTTGATTGAATATTCATGAATATATGAATCCAATGAGTCTCGATCCAACGTAGAACTCGATCCTCGTGACGATAACAATAACAACAACAATAATAATAACAACCAAGACATCAGTGGGATGACGTTACATATATTGTTATTATTAGACCCCATCAACAATCCTCATTTCTTCCAAAAACATTAAAATCTTGATCAATGTGACATAAATTAATGCAAGAAAGAGGCATGGAAGATCATAACTAATTAAACAATAAATGAACCCTCTTAAAAAAGGGGTTTTAGGGATATTAATCAAGAACTGAGATTGCTAATCTCCAACATTTGGAGGAGTATGAGAGGGGATGGACTCTTAACAAACAAGATTATTTAGGTATAATGAAAAAATTGGGATCTTTTATAAATGTGGTTCTAATTCTAATATTCTTAGGGGCCCAACCTTAATCTGTCACCTTAATAAAAAGTACAAAAAAAAGAGGGTCCCCTTAAGAATTGTTCTATGTTGTTACTTGTTACTCAATTTTTCTATTTAATAAAGTTTGTGTCAATTGGATTAGTTGGAAATAAGATATGTAATTTTATTCTTATAATTCATTACTACTTTATAAATTGTGCCAACTGGACTTTTGTTGGGATCACAATCAATCTTCCAAGAAGGACAAATCTATATAAATATAAGATTTGTATAAAAAGCTTATTTTAAGGAGGTGGGTTGAATGGTCCATTTTGTTGGTAAAATCTATCTGTATTCTAATTTCTAAGTTACCTTTTTTGGTGTATTAGAAGAATATCAACGTAGAAGAAAGAAATCTTGGTGGAGAAAATAGAAGTCGATATAAAAATGATTATTATTTGGTATTCAAAATTTCATAAATTCGATTAATTCAAATTTACACTATGTATAACACATTAAAAGAGAAATACTCATTTATCAAAAGTTTCTCCATTTCTATATTCAGACCTGATATCTGTAAGAGATTTTGTATGCTTATACTAAATTAGAAAAATTATGTTTAATTTGAAGCGATCTTAATTCATGCCACCACACCTCTTATTTCAATTTTTGAACTAAAGTACGGCTAACTTTCTTAACAAAATTTATTTAAGTTTTGGTCTCCAAATGGAATTAGGTATTATGCGTCTTCGATATTTTAGGCGTAATGTTGTTGAGATAAATGTGCACGTATGGTATGAAAAGGATTTTTACTCAGATCACTTAATTTGTATTATATTTTAACCTTGATTTATACCTAACTAAGCGAATTTTATGTGATTACGATAAAAATTAATGATCTGACATGATTTTAAATCAGATTAATTTAAAATTGAAATTTTATTTAGAGATATAATTCAATTTTTTTAAGTTGTATTTTTTCTCATAAACATAAAATCCTATAATTTGTGAATACTATCCAAACTTTCCAACACTTATACAATCTTACCAAATAAGCAAACCATAGTTCATAACAAGGTAACATAATATTCTAAAACGCTACATTAATAAATTACAAAAGTCGTCATTTTCATTAATGAACAGATGTTTGCGTTTATGTTTTCTAACACATATAATTTTACAATGATTTATGGTCTAAAAAAACACACAGTAATAACTAACTATTCTCTAATATACTAATCCTTTCATATGGTACGTGATACAAATAATTTATTCACCTCGAGAGTTAGTCTTTTTTATAAAATTTATAATGACGAGTTTTTATGAAATACGTTTTATGTTTTAAAAAAATTTAAATCCCAATTTGAAATTTAAAATCATAAATTTAAAAAAAATTATACAGATTTTATAAAAAAAAAAATTTGGTACGAGGATACTAACTTTGGCCGGCGAGGTGACACGTGGATGGTTACGCTCAGTCAAGTAGTGCCAACTCAAGAATGCATATGAGCCGAAAGCTCACATCCACAATCAATTAGAATACTTCTTAGTGCTAAACACTGCAAAAATTACAAATCTAAGATTCCTCTTTTTTATTCTAAAAAGGGATCGTTTGGTAGCTCGTTTAAATGTGAGTTATGAAATATTAAAATTAGTTAAAAAAATAAGTTATATATGTATAAAATTAATATGGTATTTGAATTCATATAACTATCTATATACTACTATTATTTTATACAAACTCTTCCTGTTTAAAAAAAAAATGATCTAATTTGATTTGACACGAAATTTAATAAAATAAAAAAAACTATTCAATTTTGTGGTCCTAGTTATGTTAAATATACCAAAATCTTTAATGTTGTGATCTTAAACATGTTTAGTGAAAAACTAAAATTAAAATATTGTCAAATAAGGAAAAGAGTCATTTATTTTTTTAAATGAAGAAAATAATACATAAATAACTAGACCTTTCATAAATAATTCCTCTACAAAATAATACATAAATTTTCTTATAATAATATTTACACTACTAAATAATGCTTAAATAACTCCACCAAACAACCATATGGGTGGTCTATTATTGGCTATATAGTAAAATAAATTGGTTAGAAGATGGAAATCCAAGATTTCTAATCTTTGAAATGTCCAACATGGACAATGGTAACAAGATTCTAAGAAATTATGAACTTGTCATCTTATTGTACGGAAGAGTAATTGTTTATTTTTTATGTTGTATAAAATAATAGTACTATATAGATAGTTATATGAATTTTTAAATTGCAAATTAAATATCATATTGATTTATATATATATATAAAACTTTTTTTAAAAACTAACTTTAAGATTTCATAACTCACATTTAAATCAGCTACCAAACGATCCAATACGACAATGTTTCTTTTAAAATAAAAAAGAGGAATACTACTACTCCTCCATTCCTTTTGAAAAAGAATGAGTGGCTTTGGGGTATCAATTTCCATATTAGCACATACATTAATATTACAATAATTTTAAAAAAAAATAACTAGCATCGTTAACTACATAAAAGTACTTTGTATAAATTAATTATTTTATTAATGGAAAATTGTTTTTAAATAATAACCAAAATGACCAATAATATGGTAGGGAGGTAGAAGGAAAAAGAAACTAGGGATTTTCTTTTCGTACTATATAAATTTCTAAAATAGACACAGAAGATTCTTACAAACAACAGAGCTAATATAATGATAGTTGGGATTTAAGGTTTAGTCTTATTCATTTTTTTAATCATCAAGATTCTAATGAAATGAATATGATTCCTCTATTTTTAATAGAAATTTAAGTTTGAGTCTTGAGAACAAATCTCCCTTTGATAGACCTTATACAGTATGAAGGTCAGTCCATAAATTTTGAATACCGAATAATTACATAAAAAAAGATAATCTTAATTAATTGATATCACATGTGTAATTATTTGATTCTATTGTGTTTTGTGATTTTTGTCCGAAACGGCTAAACTAATATTAATATTCAGAGAAAAGTATACTCTCCCCGTCCTATATTAGTTGATAATTTTCCTTTTTACACGTATATTATGAAATCATAAATAAGAAGATAATTTTATTAATTCACTCCTAAAAAACTTCCTGGGAATTTTACAAACAAATGTGAACACTTTAAAAAAGAATTAATTGTAAGAGTAATATAGGAAAAATTTAATTGATGCTTTTCTGATTTAGTAGGAGTCTGGCCATGTGATTTCATCTCATGAGATGATATCAACGATTGAACATGCGATTTTACGCTAATTTCATCTCATAATTTTTTATCATGAGATGAAATCTCAAATTCTCCAAAAATCATGATTTGAGATTTTTCAAATACAAAAATTAACCGACAAGTTTATATTTTGTAAAAATAACCCCACATTTATATCTACTAACAATTTATTTCATATGTTATTAAAAGTAATAATTCATATCATTACTTTTTAAACCATTTATACTCATTTAACGATTATTCTCACTAACATAAAATTTATTATTACTTTAAATCATTTCCTACTTCACCATTTATATATTCACCAAATTCTTTATTTTTTATCAAATTTATTTACCAACAAATGACTCAAAGTAATAATGTTGGTCCATCTTTTCAGTCATATGATCGAGAAATGCACGTTCAACGTGAGAAGATTGACTGTACTGTATGAGATGATTATATTAAAGATTCTACAATTTATGTTCAATTTTATTTTTTTATTGAATTAAAGTTGATCAATAAATGTTGTACTTTTTTAGAATAACTTTGTGATAGTATCTTATTAGGTGATTTATAAACTTTGCTTATTTGATAAGATTTTTAAAGAATTAAGACAATTTTAATAGCTTTACAACTTATCGTTATTTTTGTTCATAACAAAACATACCACATAAAAAGTCCAAATTACATGTCCAAACAAAACTTCAGCTTCAACTCAATCTCATCATCTTATATTATGATTTCAAATCATGGTTTTATATCGCATGACTAAACAAACCTTAGTAAAATAGACAACTAATATGAGATAACTATTTTTAGTAAGGAGATTCCAAACACCCACTAACTAATATGGGATAGTGGGAGTACTAACAAATGAAAAGTGTTCCCATTTACTAGAAATTAGGGGTGACAATTGGACGGGCTGGGTTAAACTTTGGGCAAGTCAAAATGAGTCAAGAGAATAAACGGGTCAAGACCCAACCCAAATTTGTTTGGTCCAAAATGGATTGGGTCAAAACGGATTAGGTAACGCGTCATAACCCAATCCACCCAATTTTTATTAAGTTTTAATAGCTTTGTTTGTTATTTTATAAACTTTTAATACCTAATATTTTTTTTTCTTTATTATAACGATATATATAACATATAAAATAAAAAATAATAAAAATATTTTGACAAGATTTTTCAAAAATTAATTTGAGTTACATATCAATTTAATTTCTAATGAATTGAACTAACAAATGGATGGGTCAGTAACCAATCCAAACCTAAATAAATTGAATCGAATTGGACGAGTTGAATTTGATTTTGCCACTGGTACCATAAATGAACAGGAAAAAACTATAGGAAAATTAAGATTTTGAAGATAGGGAAGAGACCAATGAGAAAGCTGAGAGGTTCCACGTATCACACTCCACAATCAAATTTTTTTTGATGGATAACCAGAAGTAGGAGGAGCACACAAAATTCCCACAAGAAAAAAAAGGGGTACTTTTTGGGGATATCAAGAAACTAAAAAAGATATATTTGAGATACACAAGAAAGAAAGAGAGGCCAAGAATCCAAGCATACACAGCTCAGTCCAAGATTCCAAGAATTGGCCAAATGGCAGCAGCTTCTACTTCAATGGCGGCTACTGCCGTCTTTGCCTCTCGTTTCCCACTTTCCTCCACCACCAAAGCCGCCCCAGCTCGCTGCTCCGCCTTGCCTTACCTTC